AACCTTCTAGGAATGATTGAGGTAGAGGATAAACTTTTAATTATGGAGTTATGAGTGCGGAGCGTTGAGTGGAATTTTGAGTAATAGGATTTGGCTAAGTCGTTGAGGGTTGGTATGTTCAGGTCTTTATGTAGTTTTTTATTGGTAACATACCAAGGGGCAGAGGTTATTAGCCGTAGGCATATGGATTGGAATGCTTGGAGGGTTTTAGTGTTTGATGGTTTAGCTGGCCCCAAGGCCGGATTGGTTAGGCGAGCTACCGAGAAAATCTCGGTAGGCCGCTCCAAAAAATGTTGATCTTAAGTGTTTGGGCAATTATTTCATAACACAAATGTGAATACATTTATTTAACTCTGTGTGCTACGTAAAATCTAGATCAATGTATACATTTTTATTTGAAAAAGGCCCTTTTTAGGGCCGGTTAAAAAACTAAAACTCGGCGGGCCGATACATTGTCTATCCGGCACTCGCTGGCCCCCATAGTTGAATGCCGTAGAGCCAAGCCGGACGAATTATCGATTTGTATTTCATAAGTTTGTTGGTTAAAGAAAGTTTTGATTGTATATATATATATATATATAGGGAATAAGATAATTTGTGAAATTTTGTTATTTTTAGTTACTTTAAGATTTCAACCACTTAAAAGTCTGACTATTCAAGTATTTGGATACAAAATATTTTTTGTTCTTCCTTCTGATACGTACACTAATAAATCAAAAGTTTTCTGACAAGTGAACATCCCACATATAGCTGTCCATGTGAGAAACGTGGATTTTCTAAATTCAATTTACACACGTCTGGCGATTGTCCTTGTGTTTTATTGATGGTCATTGCAAAGGTGAGTCGCACAATACTCTACAAAAGTTTGAATTTGAAAGACATATCTAATGGAAACTCTGGGATGTGTGGCAACAGTACATCTTCGCCTTTAAATTTCATATTTAAAATTGTAGCTTTGATTATGTTGTTCAACTTTTTCACTAAAATCCTGCTATTATTATTGGTGGATTGATGATTTGTTGAAGAATAATGGGCACACCAAATTTCAGTGTTAGAACGTGTGGTGGCATAGGAGTTAAGCTAAATGATCATACATTTCTCTTATTTGTTTGTTTGTGTCATTTGTAACCTAACCTATCCTAATTAATAATCACATTGTTAAGGCATCATTTTTGATGAGTCATGTATATTTTA